CATGCATAAGAGAGCTGGACAATGACTAATGATGATAGAAGGAGAGTTGACGTCTTTGAGCTTTGGTGCTGGAGAGAGTATTGTATATACTATGGACTGCTAGGAGAACAAACAAGTTCATCCTGGAGAGGGTGAAGCCAGGCCACTCCTTAGAGGCAAGGATTATGAAGCTTCATCTGACATACTTTAGACAGGTTGCAAGGTGGGATCAGTTCTTGGAGAGGAACATCATGCTTGGGAGGGTGGTGGGACAGCACAGGAGAGGAAGACCCCCAATGAGATGGATTAAGTCTATCATAAGGTAATGGGGCAGGTGTGTCAGAGACAATAAGATTGGCAAGGGATAGAGCAGGGTTTAGGGCTGTTGTACATAGAGTAGCTATAAGTCATAGGCGACTCAATGGCATATAACAATAAGAACAATCAATTACTGCATCCACATTTTTTGATAATGTCTTCAGTACAGCTTGATCTTCTTTCCAATTATTGAAACTTAAGGCTTGAATTTGTTTATCAGTTCTTTCAGCTCAAGAAGTGCAGATTGAAGTCTTCCCTCTTTGTTCCCATATTCTAGGTTTCTGCATGTTGCTGTTGTTGTTGTTGTTGTTGTTGTTGTTGTTGTTATGTCTCACTGAGTTGCTTGCAACTCATAGTGACCCTATGTACAATTGCCCTGAAACATGCTCTATCTTGTTACAATTGCCCTTAAACATGTTCTATCTTGTGTGAGCTTTACTGTGTCTGACACACCTACTCTCATTACCATAGTCACTGAAACAATCCATTTCATCGATAGTCTTCCTCTTTCTCTGTCCCTCAATCCTTCCCAGCATAATGTCCCTATCCAAGGACTGGTCCCTTCTTGCAACATGTCCAAAGTATGTCAAATGATGCCTGAGAATCCTTGCCTCCAAGGAGCAGCCTGGTTTCATCCTCTAGGATGAACATATTTGCTCTCCTGGCAGTCCATGATACATTCAATGTTCTTCTCCAGCACCACAGCTCAAAGGCATCAATCTCCTTCTATTATCCCTAGTCCAGCTCTCTGACTCATAATAAGCAATTGAGAAGACTAAGGCCTGATCAGGCTCACCTTAGTCTCCAGAATGACATTGTTGCTTTTCAGTATTCTTGAGAGGTCCCTTACAGCCAGCTTTCTCAATTCAAGTCATCTGTTGATTTCCTGGCTGCTGGTACCAAGAGTGTTGAGTGTTGATTGTGGAGCCAAGCAAACTAAAGCTGTTAAGAATCTCAGTCTCTTCATCATCATAATGTTTCCAATGTTTCTGCATATTGTATTATAATAGTTTGCTACATCTTCTTGAACTGCCTTTTGAAATGTTCTGTTCAGCTCCACTTTTACTTCAATATCTTTCTCTTCCTTTTGTTTTGGCTTCTCGATGTTATAGTCAAATTTTCAGAGTCTGTTCTAATATCCATTTTGGTGTTTTATTTTTCCTCTCTTTGAAGTCACAGGGTTGGGCAAATTAGAAATTGACCACCTAAAATGTGGAGATTAATGCATGAGGCATGAAGTTGCTGACTTACACTTTCACAATTATAGTTATTGTATATTCTAAGGAGTAAATTAATCCTTCAAATATGAAGGTTAATGGCTAGTATTGGAGCCTGGCTAACTTGTAAAGCAAGATTAGCCCTGTACCATAAGACCAGCAAGACTAACTCCATCTTGGCTATAGTATCTGCTTAGCAGTAAAAAACTCAAGGAAGTAGCATGTTAAAAAATAAGAATGCCCAAATGTCTTAAACCTTAAAGAATGTAGTGTTCTTATCAACCGAAACCATTTTTTCCTTAAGGCACACAATAAGATATTCTGGAAAACATCCTTGCATTGTGCCAAGGTTTGTAAAAGTTAATGATTGCCAGATGGTCAACATCTTGTGACTATATGAGCTAATGTGATTGTTATAGCGGATGTGCTACTAAAAAGCCTATATGTACTTTGTCTAAAAAATAAAATTTTGCTATTCACCATCAGCAATAGCCTCTCTGCATCTTCATTTAATCCTTGCCCCTTCTCTCAGTGGAACTGTTCAACATAACAAGGCAGGACCCCGTTAGGCTAGCAAAGCCAAGGCATGTGTTAAGGGTTTATTGTTCAAAATGGCTTTCCTAGCCATTGAGCTTGTTATTGGATGAGTGGGAATTTGAGAATAAATTATTTTAGCCTATCCACAGGGAGATTGATTAGTCTCACCATTTAATTGAGCTGATTCAGCAACAGAATTTAAGAATCTCACCACCAGCAAAAAAGAAGCAAGAGAAATTAATATGTCTTTTGGGTCTAGAATTCTTGTGCCAGCTAGACCCACAACAGCAGAAACAGTTGTGGCCACAGTAAATAACTAGAGACCTGGCATAAGTTAGAGCTGACCTTAGACCTGCTACCCCATGGAACATGAGCTAAGAGCCCATGTTTGTTAGAGGATTGAGGTGGGACTGTTGTTGTTGTTGTTATGTGCCCTCAAGTCGTTTGGAGGTGGGCCTGGGGAGCCATAATTGGAAAAACTAAGAGCCTAAAGCCTCAAGACTGGGGTGCCTGTGAACACATTGTAAGTTATATTGACTGAGTCATTTTTATCTGTTACCAATCTGAATTAAAAGTTTTGACTTCCCTAATATGGTTCTGTGTGTTCTTTGAGCTATTTTGATGAATCTCAGAGTCAGTAACACAGTAAGACTGGTATTAGAGAGAGTAAAAAGAGGTGTGGGAATATGAGGAACATGTCTGACCTCACAGAAATTGGTTTTGTATTGTGGGTGCTGTTGACAGGGACAGTTCCTCATTATGGAGTTTATAGAAGTCAGATATGGTCATCTCCATGTAACCCTTTCTATTTTACACATTCACAAAAGACTGTTTCTCTGACCCAAGTATGAAGGTGTATGACAGACAGGAAAATACATAAGCATTTGGAGTGATGCTTGTGATCATGTAAAAAGAACTATTTACTAGATAGAGTTTAGGCAAGTCTCAAATGTTCCCACCTATATATGCTGTTACTTGGTAGGAATTACAGATATTTTACAGATAGATGTAATTTTCTACTACCTGCTGAGAAAGCCATGAAGTAATCACTCTTCTTAAAGTTGCCACTTTTGTCCAGAAAGTGGCCAGGGTCAAACGTCTTTGGATTAGGAAATTCTTTTTCGTTGTGAAGCACAGAAGTCAGTGAAATTAATATGGTCGTACCCTGCAATAAACAGACACAAATACAGTGAGTGACCCTGGAATTGTTCTTTATTTTAATTTTTAAATAAATTGTTGAAAGTAATAGTTTTTGTTTATAGTAAATGTTCTTATTTTTGCTAAGACTGTCTTATTGAATGTATGTGGAGTGAAGATAGAGTTTTAACAAAGATGTTCTAAGTGCTAAGGAAAAGAAAAAACAAATTTCATTCTTAGAAAAATGACTATATGTGTTCTTCTTCAGACCTAGCTAGCATTCCACCGAGCACAAAGAGAAAGCACAGTGTCTTTTCAGGAAGTTTCTGAGGTGGCTTCTTGCCTTGAGCATGCATGTGAATTTTTCCCTTTCCTTGTGTGTTGCTCTTGACTGTTTTGGTTTATCTGCTACTTTTTAGTGTGATGTTAGAATATATTTGGAAATACAAAGAGCTAAGCTCATCTAAAAGAAGCATAAAGCATAAAGAATAATAGCAAATTTTGAAGATTTAACATTGCTATATATGAAGACCTCCCCTAAATCTTTAGAGTTTCAAATTGGAGGGAACAGAAAATTAATCAAGCTGCACTTAAAATCCACAGTCCTCAAATAACAAATGCTGGTGAGGTTGTGGAAAAACTGAAATCCATATTCACTGCTGGTGGAAGTGTAAAATGGTGCAACCACTATGGAAGGTTGTATGGTGCTTTCTCAAAAAGTTGCAAATAGAAATTCCATTTGACTCAGCAATTCCACTACTGGGAATATACCCTAAAGAATCCATAACTGCCACCTAAGCAGACATATGCACATCATGTTTATTGCAGCTTTGTTCACAGTAGCAGCAAGTTGGAAACAACTCAAGCGCTCATCAACAAATGAATGGATAGAGAAGCTGTAATATAGTCACACAACGGAATTTTATACTGCATTGAAAAATAAGGAACTCATGAAATATACAAAATGGGTGGCCTTGGAGTACATTATGCTGAGTGAAATATCTCAGCCACAAAAAAAGACATATACTGCATAATGCCACTGTTATAAAAGAGGACTGACATAGAGTTTGGGGAGACACTGAGAAGAGTGGGTAAATAATGTATACTGCAGTGAAACAGATGAGGGAGAGAACTATTTAAAAGGGATATATGATTAGGTATCATTGTCATGACAGGAGTCCAGAGTGAAGCCAGCACAGTGGAGTAGACTTGGGAGGAGGGGTTGTATAAAAATTAAAGAATTTTTCTTTTCCTTTTCAAAGAGAAGAGCAAATGGGGCGCAGGGGTCGGCAGGGAGAAAAGTGCAACAATGAATGAATAGAAATCCAAAGTCTCTGTAATTTTTCAAAATAAAAATAAAATCCATAATCCTTTTGATTCCTCTAATCCTGTGTTAGTAGAAGACTGGCACAGTACCATGTATATATTGAGCTCTAGTTTAAAAAAAAAAACCACAAACATTTACCTTGGGAATGAGGTAATTTCTGAAGTTAACATCACGAGTCACTGAATGAAGCATGTTGCTTGGGAGGAGGTTAATGTATCTCTGGATCTCATGCACCACAGCATCTGTGTAAGGCATATTGCCCCTATCTTGCATGCAGGGGACTCGGTGGCTGCCAATCACTTGGTGAATCTCTTTCTGGACTTTATCTAGTATGTCATAAGTAAGAACTGATGAAAATGTGAATTTTGGGGGGGGGTTGTCATTTCAACAAGATTACATAAAACAGGAGAAAGACAGGAAATCCCTTCTCACATGATTTACAGCTTTGGAAATCAGTAATCAGTTTTGACTCAATAGTAATGCATTTTAACTTTTGAATTATTGGGAAAGCAGAGATAATCTATTGTTTTTGTTTGTTTGTTTGTTTGTTTGTTTTCTTTATATCCTCCCTCATACCATTTTCATAAATTCTGTCTATTGTGAATTGCTTATTTAGCAGGCCTATTGTCATGCAATTGGAAGAAGGATTAGCACCCACATCCTAATCAACATGTCTCTGGAAACTATACAAACTTTGAGAAACAAAGATAGTTACAGAAAGGCTTCAGATCTTTTGTTCATAGGGTTACTTGATAGCCATCAACAACAACAACATCACCTAAAAGTACATTACAAAGACAGAGGAAAAAGAAAAGACCAAATGCTTGTCAGAAGAGACTGAATATTACACAAGAGTGCCAAGAAGCAAAAGCAAAGGGAAGAAATCAAGACGTAAAGGAGCTAAATAGAGGATTTCAAAGGGCAGCTCAGGAAGACAAAGCAAAGTATTACAATGAAATGTGCAAAGGGCTAGAGACTGAAACTCAAAAGGGCCAAATTTGCTTGGCATTTCTTAAGCTGAAGGAACTAAAGAACAAATTCAAGTCATGATTTGCAGCAATTAAAGATGCTATGGACAGAATATTACATTGTTCAGGAAGCATTAAAAGAAGATGGGAGGAGTATACAGAGTTAATTTATTTTTAAAAAAATTGGCTGACATATGAAAAAGAGGCAATGGTGATGAAGGAAGAGGTTCAGGCTGCTCTGAAGGTTTTCACAGAAAAATAAGGCTCCAGGAATTGATGGATTACCAATTAATGTATTTCAACAAATAGATGCTGCCATAGATGTGCTTACCAGCTTGTGCCACAAAATCTAAAGGACAACAACCTGGGCAACTGACTGGAAGAGATCTATATTTATTCCCATTCCAAAAAAGGTGACCCGACAGAGTGTAGAAATTATCAAACAATATCGGTAATATCACACACAGGCAAAATCATGCTGAAGATTATCCAAGAACAACTGGAACATAGACAAAGAACAACTATAAATACAAGTTGGAATTAGAAGAGGTTGTGGCACTAGAGATACTATCTCTAATGTCAGAGGTATCTTGGCCGAAAGCAAAGCATACCAGAGGAATGTCTTGTGTTTCATTGACTATGCAAAGGCATTTGATTGTGTGGATCACAACAAATTGTGGCTAACCTTGAGGAGAATGGGAATCCCAGAACACTTGTTTGTGCTCATGTGAACCTATACTCAGACCAAGTAGTCCTTAGAACAGAGCAAGAAAAAACTGACTACATGGTTCAAAATCAGGAAACTGGTGTGTGGAGGATATATCCAGTCTCCATATCTTTTCAGCCGATATGCAGAACAGATAATTCAGGAGGTTGGAATTTATGAGGAGGAATGTGGTATCAGAATTGAAGGAAGACTCATTAACAACCTATGTTATGCAGATGACACAACTTGCTTGGTGAAATGGAGAACCTGAAGTGCTTGCTGAGGAAGGTCAAGGACTGTAGTCTTCAATAAGGATTGAAACTCAATATCATGAAGACAAAGATTCACGTCACCGGACAAATTGGCAGAATGATAGCAGATGGAGAAGAGATTGAGGTTGTTAATAATTATAGCTTACTCAGATTCACAATCAACACTCTTGGCCCCAGAAGTCAAGACATCAAAAGACAAATTGCACTGGAAAAATCTGTTGTCAGGGATCTCTCCAGAGTACAGAGAAGCAATGATGTCAGTCTACAGACTAAGGTGCATCTGATCCAGGCCATGGTCTTCGCAATTACTTGCTATGTATCAGATAGCTGGACAATGACTAAGGATGACAGAAGAATTGATGTCTTTGGAATGTAGTTCTGGAGAAGAGTCAAGAACATACGATGGGCTACCAAGAAAAAAGTCTCAGTCTTGGAGAGGGTGAAATCAAGTTTCTCCTTGGAGGCTAGGATTTTGAAGCTTAATCTCTCATGCTTTGGGCATGCAGCCAGGAGGGGTCAGTCCTTGGAGAAGAACATCATGCTTGGAAGGGTGGAGGGAAAGTGCAAGAGAGGAACACTCTGGATGAGATGGATTGATAAAGTAACTGAGGCAATGGGGGTAGGTGTATTTGAGTCAGTGAAACTGGCTCAGGACAGAGTGGGCTTCAGAGGGTCACTAAGAGTCACAAGTGATTCAATGTCACATAACAACAACAGTGCCCACCAGAGACTTTTGGTGGCATAGTGAGTAAGGAGCTGCACTGTTAATTCAAAGACACATGATTCAAATCCACTAACTGCTCCTCAGGAAAAAGATGGACAATCTCCTTCTGTCTGATTTACTGTCTCTGCAAATATGCTGGATGGTCAGGTATGAATTGATTATGAGTGAATGGCACATAACAAGTAACTTTCTTGAAACTATCCTGGTAAAAGTCCTTTCCCACATAACACCAAGCCATGATATTTTCCATTACTTTTTATGCATACAAACATTGGACAATGAATAGGAAACTGAAGAAGATTTGATGTCTTTGAACTGTGGTGTTGGCTAAAAGTATTGAATATACCATGTACTGCCAAAAGCACAAGATTATTTTGGAGAAAGTGTAACCAGGATGCTTTTTGGATGCAATGATTTAGAAACTCATCTCATATATTTTGGGCACATGATCAAGACGTGCCAGTCCCTGGAAAAGACATCAGACAGCTTGGAAAAGTGGAGAGTGAGTAAAAGAGAGGAAGACTCTAAATTTGGTGCTTTGACTAGTGAACTACAACAGGGAGCTTCAGCATGGTGGAGAGTGTGAGGATGGCACGGGGTAGGACAAGGTTTCAGTTTGCTTTTCATTAGGTCACAATGTATTGTAGTCAGTGAAACAGCATCTAACCACAACATAACCTCATCACCCTCACGAATCTTTATGATGTTGCTCTGCCCATGTTTTATTACCCATCAAGTATCTTAATAATTTATATTTCTTTAAGAGACATAAGGTAGAAAATTCTAGCTATTTAATACCAACTTTCTTTCTGAAGTTCATCCTATCCACCATTTGTGCTCATACCTCTGACCTCAGGGTGCTTCAGCAGAAGTAGGAGTCCATATCTCAGGGTGGTGCTTGTTGTCTCTGTCCCAGCTCCAAACAGGTCATTTACAGTGGCTACCAAGGTTTCAGTAGTAAATTCAGTCTGTTTATTGTGCTTTTCCTAGGAATATTAAGCAATAGTTTGACATAGTAATTTTCCAGTTTATTTATTTGCAATCCTTTTGCACTTTTGAATCAAAGACTCACGGTATGAATCCACAAGCTGTTCCATGAGAGAAAGATGGATAATCTACCCATATGGGATTTAATACCTTTGAAAATCCACTGGAGGGTCAGCTACGGTTAGACAACAAAAACAACATATTTTCCTTTTCTTGTGTAAAATTTCTATTTGTCATCCTAGGTAGGTTATGCCAGAGGATTTTTACCAATGACTTAGAAATCATGCCCAATAACTAAGGGGGGGGGGGCGGGGGAAGTATGCATACTTTCATTTCTGACTATTAGTTCCTACTGCACTGATTGTGAATTCAAGTAAAGAGAGATCCGTGAAAACACCAGCCTTTTCTTCCTCTTTTATGATACCATCTATCATTCCAAGAATTTTTGCTTTTTTAATGTTGAATTATAATCTGAACTGAAAGGTTTTATCAGTGAATGGTATCTCTTGAGAAAGATACCATGCTTGTTAAAGTAGAAGATAGGTGAAAAAGAGGAAGGTTCTCAACATGATGGATTGCCAGGGTGGCTGCCCGCAGTCCCATTGAAACTGAGTATAAATAAAGAATCTTCTAGTTGGTCTTGACTTTGATTCTTGTCAGACAGATCATTCTAAACAATCCTCATAATAATTTCCCTTATAATTATTGGCATTTTTATTCCTGTGTTGAACACCACATATATTTGAGCAAATATAAAACTTTCGATGCCAATATCCATAGTTAAGGTTATCTGACAGACAAAAAATTCCAACTCTGTGACTGTTCTAATTAATTTCTAGTTACAGCCAAATGAGGCTTTTCCCTTCAACCTGCCTTATCTTTTTGCCAACAGAAACCTCTGTGTATATATAATTAGACATATCTGGAATTCCTTCTCCTTCCCTTACTGCAATATTTCTTTTCATTCTCTCTTTCACTATGAGCAATGATGATTCCCAACTTCACTTGATAAAATGACATTTAATATTTTAAGACTTCTTTTAATTATTTCTATTTCATCTTTGGTGGGCAGTTTCCTTCTCTTTAGGCTGATTGTAATTACCGAAAGATCTTAACAATCAACACTCAAAATAACAGTAGTCAAAATCAAAAGATGTTATGCTGAGTAAAACAACCTGTTGAAAGTGCTGAAGTATAAGGATGTTAGTTAAATACTAAGATGTGCCTGATTCAAGCCATGATGTTTACCATTTCTTCATAAGCATGTGTAAGTTAGACAATACAAGGAAGATCAAAGACATGATGCCTTTCAATTGTGGTGTTGGGGAAGAATATCAAGTATTGCATAGATATTTGCCAGGGGAAAAAAAACAAACAAGTTAATCTTGTAGGAAGTGTATCCAGAGTGCTCCTTGGAAGGAAGAATGATGAGACTTCATCTCAAATACTTTCATCATGTCTGAAATGGAGGAAATTCTCAGAAAAAATGTCATATGTGGAAAGAGGTAGCATGAGAATAAGAAAGGCCCTCAACAAGATGACCTGACATAGTGACATCAACAGTGGACTTGTCAAAGTGGAGATTGTGAGAATGATGCAGGATAAGGTTTTGGCCTGACATTCAGGTCATTATGAGTTCACTCAATGGTACTAAGAGAAACAGTAAAGAAAAGGATCTACTTATTTTAATTTCTTAACCATTCAACATAATGTAATTTTTCAATTACCTCATGAAGATTATTGTTGATCTATGCACATGTTGTTGTTGTTATGTGTCATCAAGTCCCTTGTGACTCAGCCCTCCTATTGTACATGCCTTGAAACATGCTCTATCCTGTGCCAGTCTTATTGTCTCTGGCACATCTATCCTCATTACCCCAGTCACTGAATCAATACATCTCTTTGAGAGTCTTTCTCTCTTGTACTGTCCCTCCACCCTTTCAAGCATTTTGTCCCTCTCCAAGGACTGGTTCTTCCTTGCAACATGCCCAAATTATGTCAGACAGAGTTTCAAAATCCTTGCCTCCAAGAAGGAGCCTGATTTCATCCTCTCTAGGATCAACCTGTTTGTTCTCTTAGCAGTCCTCTGTGTATTTGGCACTCTTTCCCAGCACCACAACTCAAAGCATCAATTCTTCTGTCATCTTTAGTCATTGTCCTGCTCTTTGATGCATAGCAAGTAATTGTGAAGACCATGGCCTAGGTCAGGCACAACTTAGTCTATAGACTGACATAATTTCTCCTCAGTACTCTAGCAAGGTCCCTGACAGCACATTTCCCCAATGCAATTCATCTTCTTATTTCCTTGCTGCTGATATCAAGAGTGTTAACTGTGGAGCTAACCAAGCTGAAACTGTTAACAGTCTCAATCTTTTCACCATCTAGCATGATGCTGCCAATTTTCCTAATGAAAGGAACTGAAGAACAAATTCAAGCGGTGAGTAGCAATATTTATGGATGATCAGGGCAGAATATTGAATAACCCAGGAAACATCAAAAGAAGAGATAAGGACTACAGAGTTACTATACAAAAATAATTGGCTGACACAGAAGAATTTCATGAAGCAACATATGATCAAGAGCCTATGGTAATGAAGGAGGAAGTTCAAGCTGCTCTAAAGGAATTGGTAAAAAACAAGACCCCAGGGATTGATGGCACACCAATTGACATATTTCAAGAAATAGATTCTACCCTGGATGTGCTCATCAAGTTGTGCCAAGAAGTAAGGAGGACAACTACCTGGTCAAATGACTAGAAGAGATCCATATTTATCCCCATTCCCAAAAATGGTGACCAAACAGAATATGGAAATTATTGAACAGTATCATTAATATCACATGCAAGCAAATATCCTGCTGAAAATTATCAAAAAATGACTGGAACAGTACATCAGTAGGTAGCTGTCAGATGTTCAGGCTGGATTTATTAGAGACTGTGTGCTAGGTGTATTATAGCCAATGTTAGATGGATCCTAGCTGAAGTGAGAGAGTGCCAGAGGATTGTCTGTTTCTGTTTCATTGACTGTGCAAAGGCATTTGA